GTTTTTAAGTTGTTTACTGATCTATCACACCCATTTTCTATTATTTTCAAGAGGTTTTGGACTTCTTTCAACTGGTATATCTATGAAATAATCTTAAAATGAGCGTAGTGAATGAATTGTTTTTTATAAAGAGATCAATCTTTGCAATCGATTTGATGTTTATTTGTGGTATTCAAAAAGTTGTCCCTTAGCCACTCTCTTGGGAATGATTAAAAGTATAAGCAACCCTTTTAACAAAACAAGGTCAATGCAAAGTAATATCTTTTAGGATTTCTTGAAAGTTATCTTTTATGATCTGTGCATAAAAGCTTTTTCGCTCAGTCGAAGTATATACCTATTTCGAAAAACGTTGTCGGGGAGAATGGCGAATGTCAATTGTCGAACGGCGATTGCTCGAGCCGAGAATAGCCATGGGTTTTGTTAACTAAATGGAAATAACAACTGATTTATATTATATTAAATAACAATATAGTCTGTGGTAAACACTGGCTCCATTTAGACTCCATTTCTATGCAATAAGTGAAATTTTGTTTGTCAAACAGTGTAACCATAGTCCATTTCGGTCGTGCATTCTCCCTTCGACAATCACCATTCGCCGTTCTCCCCGACAACGTTTTTTGAAATAGGTGTATGTAGAGTTTTAAATCGCACAAAACCGATCTATAACTGGAAAACCGAGAAATTAACCGGTGGTTTAGCTAAATGGGTATTATTATTGATWTAYGCMAATKCAYAAATTATTTAAATCTTAGAATTTAAAGTTACACTTGATTGAGCTTCATTGTGAGTTGGATGAGTGAATGAAAGCATACTGCATAAAGTCAAATTGATTGAGCATTGTTTAACAGCGTTATTTAAACTGCGTGGCTCAGTCTTGCACATCCGTTTACTTCGCAAATCGTTTGCAATGGACTCGGAAGACGATTCAGACATCTTTATAACTCCTTCGACTTTTAGAAGTCCACAAGGTCAAGATCCTAATTTCAATATTGAATCGTTTTTCGGGCATGAATTAAGTGAGCCAAATTCCTTTAACGCACCACCAAATGAAGTACCTGCAGAATCTTCTACTGAGAGTCGGTTTACCGAGCCTTTGTCACACGAAAATGGTAAAGACTAAATTGCTAAATCCGTTCCAAAGAACACTACCTATAAAGATAATTGGGAAGTCAATCTGTTCGAAACATGGAGACAGGAAAGAAACAGGAAAGTCGGAACAAGTGCAAGCCAGGAAATTTTGGACAACTCACTAGAAAATATGACCGACGAAGAATTTTAAATCAAACCTTGGCCTTATTCATTTGCAAAGTGCGAAAGACAACTTTGTATTAAAGTGATTGAGCTAACGAATTAAAACTGCAGAATGCAATCCTCTCCTTCATCAGTGATCTCCAGGTACCAGGTTTTGAAAATCGATTTCAAGACTTGTTTCAGGTCTTGATTTTTATTTTCAAGCTTTAGTCAGCCCCAATCTCCCCTGATGATAATTAATGCCGCCCCCAGCTTTTAGAATGCGGGTTTTACCTAAAATACCAAAACCGATTGAAAACAATAGAAAATGGGTGTGGTAGGTCAGTAATTGAAATTACGCTTGTTCCGACGATTTTTCAAAAAAAAAACATCGACTGCCTGACGTTTAGTACTGGGACTAAACGTCAGGCAGGCGAAAAATCTCAAAATGCCGTGCTTGTGTTTGAAACTTGTTAAACAGTATTATTTCGGTCTTTCTAGAACTCATTAATAATTCATGAGCTATTAGTCCAATCAGAATCCAACTGTTGGGTCTCATGATGGACCTTTATATCCCGATAAAGCACTGATGTTTTATTAAGTAACAATGCGCGCAAAAAGCAGGAAACTTTCTATTGTTCTGCGGCAATTGCAACTTCACCACATACGAATGTCTTGGTTTTCACACTGATTATATATCAACCTATGGGTAACACATTTTTAAAATAAAATGTGGATAAACTCTGTTTTGAAACAAAGTTTCTTTTGTATTAAAAGATCTTGTCCAATCATAAGCACTCAAAACAATAGCCAAAAGATGCTTCTAATTTGCTATGTTCCCCACATAGAATTGCCGCTATTAATATTAAAGCTAAGGAAAGCTTTTATGAAGTTAGAATCAGATATTGAATAAAATATTAAAAAATGCGCTTACTTTTGAAATTATGTCCGRTTTTAATGTTTTAACCAATGAGATGGATGGATTATACGATACAAAATTAGCACCTTCATGCATTCCATTGCCGTTTGCTTGCCTGCTTCTTACTCGGACCATTACTTAATCAGTTCTATATCAGAGATATATAATATCAGAGATATAGAACTGATGTTTTATTAATCAGTTCTATATCAGATATAAAGAACTGATGTTGAAGGTCATCAGCGCTTTATCGCAACCCAACACTAGCAAAGGTCTCAGTTTTAATGTCGCATCATAGACCTTTGCTAGGTTTTAAATCAGTTTGAATCAATGTGCAGATATGCAGTATAGCATAGACTAGCCGTTCTTACGTGTGGGATCAAAATTCTTTCATTTGTGACAAATGCACATGCTCAGTAGAAGTTTAACATGCATAATCTCTGTTTTCGCATTTTTTTAGCTTTTTTCTAAAATGATAACAATTTCTGGATGTTGGAGTTCTAGAAGTAGTATAAAAAACTCGCAGTCGTACTTTATCGGGGATATAGACACTCGGCCTTTGGCCTCGTGTCTATATCTCCCGATAWAGCACTCCTGCTCGTTTTTTAAACACTACTTAGTACATTTCCCTTGTTGTATTAATTGAAATTACGGTTATTCCGACAATTTTTTAAGAAAAAATTCGACTGCCTGACGTTTAGTCCTGGGACTAAACGTCAGGCTGCCTGACATTTAGACACTCCGTTGTATATCAGTATAATACACTTTAGTATCCAACAAACTATTACAAATCTATTACAAATCCAACATTCCGATTGGCTACGGAACTATGCAGACTATTTGTGATAGACCATATGATCGCATCTTTCGAAGAAAAACAGTCGCAATTAAAAGATATCAGAAAAAAAATGTTCTTTAGGATCTTTTTCAAATTTTCCCTATAGTTTGTGGACTCGGTCTCGTGAACTACATGTTGATAGTCAGTATGACCTCATAGGGCCTGATTATATGAGGCGGGCTGGCCCGGTTTGCCGAGATCTCGGTTTGTCTTCAAATACAAAAGATTCCGGCTCTTTGATTACATGGAAAGCGAGCCAGCCCGGTTTACCGAGGTCTTGGTAATCCACAACCGGGATCCCGGCAGACCGGGCTGAAAATTTCCCATATAATCGAAAGTCAAGCGGGCTGGCCCGCTTTAGTGCGCCTGCTGTCCAGAAGTGTGTCAGCTGTTTTGCGTACAACACATGAGCGCAAGGACGTCATTCGTCGTAATTTTGCCTTTCTTAGCATTTTCTTATACGATTCTCTGCTTTAGAAGTTATTACGTTATTAATTAACAGCCTTCTTTAAAGCATATAAAGTTGCAGTATTCCAAAAAAATGGAAAAGCAGCGAAAAGAGCATACAAAATTGTGTTAACACTCGCGAACAAACTTCCTTATCCTGGTCAAATTATTATCTCCATTTTGTGGAGATTTTTTTTTTAAACAATCCTTCGCGGCAATACTTAATTGATTCAGCTGGGGTAGCCCAGCTAAKCCTGTCTCATATAATCGCGAGACGGGATAAATAAATAATGATCTCGGCAAACCGAGCCAGCCCGGTCAACCGGGCCAGCCCGCATCATATAATCAGGCTCATAGACTATCAACTCGTAGTCACTCGACCTTGCGTTTTAATTGTTAAGTATCGCTATGTGTTTTCAGCTCGGTGGATTTAGGCTTCCTATGGTAGTTGTTGGTGGCACTTTACTCGTGTTTTTACCTTTAATTTGGATACTTTTACCCAGACAAGGTCAGTAATGCCAGAATGCCAKAATAAATGCTATTGGAATCAATATCAATAATATGGTTATACTATGAAATTGGATATGTAATTCATTTTTTCCATTTTCTTGTATCGTACATTTGTACTGCATATCGCTTATAATCACTACTGATTGCGTAATATATGGCCCTAGAGAGCTTGGGAGATAGATTGGGCTAAACAGACGACCAGTCTGTTCACAACAAAACTATAATATACACCCCAAACCAACATGATATCATGTATTATCATATGCACAATCACTGGATATGAGCTAGCGCATGCTCTGATTGGTTAGTATACTACTAGGCTATCAGTTRATATACTGTGAGTATATTGTTTACAACTGTGGTCGGCGCGCACATGAAGGAAGTTTTTTTTGTCCAAAAATTAATATTTATTGTGCTCTTTAGAGCTAAGGACAATTTTTATGAGCCAGTGATTGTGTATATAAAAATCAGCCGGAGCCTCGTTGGCTATCAGCTCTTCTACGACTCCATTTCTTGGATTAACTGTTAATTGTAATAATATTGTACAAGACTACACCAAGACAAAGAATGAGTGGCAAGGTCGTTTAAAGTTGTTCAAACGGGCGATTTCCATTCCAGAAGTCATTATAATGTGTAAGTCTGATTATCAATAACATCATCTTCAATAAAAAAGCAAATTGTCAAGTTGGTAATGTCTTTGCGCAAGATAATCTGTTGTCGAATAAAGTTAGGGTCTGCCAATTTTTAAGCTATGCAATATAGCAACGCCTTCCTTTGCCATCAGGACATCTATAAAATATACCCTTCTCCAAAATTTGTTGGTTTTCTTTCAACCTTAAACAAAATTGATMAATAAAACACTCAGAACCCGAAACTGAAACTGAAACTGTTTTATTGCTCTTTTTTGCTATTAAATTCACAGAATAAAGTGCTTGTATCAAAAAAGATAAATAAGCATAAAAAAATATATATGCAAATTTGTTGTAAAGAAATAGAGCCAGAGGGCTAAGTTAACTAATAAGTTTTCTAGTTAGCCCCCTGTCATGTAGAGCCTGTCAATAGAGCTCCATTAATGACGATTGCTTTTATAATGAATAATTTTCCTTGTCCTTATTGTTATTTAAGGCATCTGTGGCTGTACCTGTGCTATTTCATTAACTTTCTTTGAGCCAACGTTACAGCCACATGCAGAAAAGGTTAGTGGATTTTCGTAACCTACCATTGTTATCACGAAGAACCTTATTTTTACATAATGACAATAATATTGGATATTAATCATTAACCATTGCTTGAGAGAGACAAGAACGAATGCGCCGAATGTTATGTTATCTGCGAACGCTCTTAGCAAAATGCGGATTACCTGTGTTATTACGTCACGGTCCCGTTCCTCTCAGCTTTAAACTAGTTTGTGACAATGTATGAAATAATTCCTCGAAAAGTGTATTCGCCTATTTTTCTTCCCATTCTTTTTTGTAAGTAAGCAGTATAAAATGAGAGTTGAGCTGCCGTACACAACTGTCGAAAGTCAATTAAATTTTGACAAGCTTTCGCCGGATTCCGGCATCATCAGATCACGAAAATCTAAAACAACAGTAAAACTAGTAAAATTAGCATACGGGGCCGAGTAACTGGGGCGTATAAAAGTTTATTCCGGAATATTAACAAGGTGTAAGGTCAGAACAAAAGGTCTTTCGATTCAAAATGCTAATTCTACTAGTTTTACTGTTTTCTGAGATTTTTATGACCTGGTGATGCCGCGGTGTCCGGCGAAAGCTTGTTAAAATTTGTTTGACTTTAGACAGTAGTGAACAGGCGCGTAGCGTGGACGTTTTGGCTAGTGCGCACATGTCAGGGACCGCGACAACATATGGATTGGGGGGCTAACGACTGCTGAAGACAGGAGTATTAACGGGGGTCTGGGGTCCTCCCAAGGAAGTTTTGAAATAATAACTCTTGGAAATGCGATTTCCAGCGTTTTGAGGTTCTTTCTGATAACGAAGCCTTGCGAGGGAACAAGCATAGACAATTATATGAAAAAATCCCGAAAATTTGAAGATTTCCTTGCCACTAGTACCCACGTCCGTATTTGTGTAAAAGACGCTACGCTCCTGGTGGATGGCCCTCAACTCTCATTTTAACTCATAATGCTAATGAAGGACAATTTCCTAATTCTTKGGCAGTATAAGTTTTTTTTCGGTGAAATATTGGACTTGTTAATTAAAAAACAATTCGTTCTAAAAACGCGAAAGTATATCTTAGCACTGCTGCGTACTTTCTGACGAAAAATTGTGACACGCCATATTTTTCCGCCCTACCTTCGTTGAAAGTTCGCCTACCCGTCGAATCTTCGTTTTCCGAAAAAGTGTCCCAGTTACCTGGTGCACACATCGATCCATCACGTGACCGGTGTTTCATACCTTGTCACAAACTAGTGTGTAGACCCGCGAGGCAAGGATCGTGGCGTAGCACCACAGGTAATYCGCATTTTGCTGAGAGAGCGCGCAGATTAATTAGACATATTTTAATAACATATTTTAATAACATATTTTGATAACAATTAAAATCGTTATCATTAGACATGTTGTTGTTCTGTTGTTGCCTTCAGTGATAAGCTCGAATCGTGTCTTTGTCGATTTCAATAATAAGTTTTGAATTCTTCGAATAGTTCATAAAAAGCGGTCAAATATTTGTCTCTTTTTGCTACTAGAGTGTTAATCCGTGTTAATCCAACATTATTTTGCGTAAT